CTACGTTTCAAACATACACATCCTTAAGTGAAATAGTCATTGTTTCAGCTATGGAATTAAATGTTGTAAGTAGTTTAGAACCTAGGGGAAAAAGTAAAATGCTTATTACTGTTTTTTAAGTAAAAGCGTTAAAGTAGTCAGCTTCGCATTAACAAGGGTAAACTGGGTTCTTGGACGTTGCACATGGTTAGTCAGAAGACTGTTAAAAAAACATAGGAAAGAAAACTAACCCATATTATAATTAACATAAAATACGTAGGCTCCTAGTTAACTAAGTGCATGTTAGCGAACTCCATATAATAAAAGTTAACTTTCTATATTGAGAAATGACGGCAAAATTATCATCATAAGCCAAAACAAAACTGTTTACGATATGTACAAAATGGCCAAGAAAAACGCTTGGAATACCAGTAATGATGACAAATGATATTATGATAATTTTTGAGTTTCCCCCCTCTCCACAATTCTTCGAATTCTAAATATATAAAAATTGTTAAATAATCGGTTAAAAGTAAGTTACTCAATTTAAAAAATAAATCAACTGTTAATCTTTGTTTCATTTGGTCTGTAATGTAAACAAAAATAAACAGCAGGTAACCATATGATTAATAATTAATAATTTAAAAGTGCTACCCTATTGTCTTCACTTCTGTCACCCTAGCTTAATGTGTCTAACTCATTTCCTCCATTTCTTCAAATTTTTATGAAAATTAAGTCTCTTATGCATATTATTTTTGGTTTCATGGCTTTTATGTCAAGTATATTTTGCGATGATCAGTAATACTACTATTTCGAGTAAATTTACTTTATTTTTGAGTGAAAAATTACAGAAAAAATTCTTAAAGCGTCAAATAGTACTTTCCAGTCGCCAAATAGTCGAAATGATCTTAAAACTAGATAACATATCGAGCAAAAACCGCTAACGGGGGAGGGGGGAAAAGCAGAAAAGCTGTCATTTGGCTGCATAAATGAAAACAAAACGTGAAAACTAGAGAATATCAATCTACGAGGATTTAAATAAATCTACATTACAGTGGTATAAATAACAAAAACCGCAGAAAATTTGTACATAGAATTGTTTATGCAGTAAAAGGCAAACTTATGTTTAAAAAAATGTGGATATGAAGACGAGATAAAGGATGGTTTCGTCAGAATGGTTTCCGCAGTCTCGGAGCATGAAGTGCACGATGAACTTTAAACTGGGGGAGTTAAAGGATTTTTTTCAGAGAGTTATGAGTTAATTGTGGCCGAAAGATTACTTTCGGAGCAAATGTATAATATCAATGAGTCTAGCTAATGGTAATACATGACAATAAAGCTTATTGCACTCGAAAAATATGGTCGCAAAATCAGTAAATCGTGTGTAGTAATTATGACCTACTCTAACGCGACAGGAAGTCATAAACTAAAACTACATGCCTTTGAAAAAGCGCAAAAAATCCAAGGTCTGTAGAAGGAATACTTGGGTATTTCTTCTTAAGACCTTGAACTTTTTTGCCTTTCTGATAGCATGGAAGCAACCAATCTAACTTTTCCTAATTCAAACAGACAAAGAGATGGCTTAACCTTTTAACTGTCATGCCCGAGATAATTTCGGGTACAGCACTGGTGTTCGAAAATGTCACGCCCGAGTATTACTCGGGGTAATTTTTTTTTTTTTTTTTTTTTTTTGAGTGCATCGTATTGTTATACCCGAATATATATCGGGAGACGTTTATTTCGGCTTCATCTCTTTGTCAAACCCGTCTGTATCTCGGGAAAAGTTAATGTGCGCTCAGTTCAATAGATGACAGCACTTTACTGAAGATTTCAAAGGTTAGAGGTTATTTGGTTCAAAGTGCATGGGGTCTTTTTGTTGTAAAATAGCCTCCAGTTCTTTGAAACGTTATATAGATGATTTAGATTCTTCAACCGAAGGGGAAGGATGTGTGTTTGATGAGCAGTATTCATGATACTTCCATGGTCAGCCTCAAAAATAAAAAATGGAGATATACTCAAGCCGAAGATTGTTTCTAATTACGGTCTAACTATGGGTGGTGTAGATCGCTGTGATCAGGAAATATCCTTTCATCCAACAATCCGAAAACGTCAGAAAAAAATATATAAAAAGATATTTTTACATTTTACTAGACAAGGTACTTTGGGAACTCATATTTGCTCTATAAAAATGTAGTTGGGAAACGTATTACATTTTTAGAATTTCGAATCCAAGTTGTAGAAGAGCTTTTACATAAATATGATGATGGCAGCTTCTGAACAAAAGAATGTTGGCAGACCCCCTACAATACATAACCCTGCCCGTCTTACTGAACGACATTTTATATCCCATTTTCCTCTTACTCCTGCGAAACGTGAGCCTACAAGACAGTGCAAAGTGTGTTGTTCGAAAAAAAGGATAAAAATGGGGAAAAGATAAGGAAGGAATCACGATTCTGGTGTAGTGATTGTGGAGTTGGTTTGTGCTTGGAAAAGTGTTTCCAGTTGTACCACACAAAACTGAATTACTGAACTACTAATAGGTATTCCTTATATTTATTTATGTTTAGAAAATAATTAATTTTTTTCATTTTTAGAAAATAATGCTCCACTAGACGCGAACTTTGCAACTGCCATGTTGAGTGGCAGCCGCCTCAAAGCAAATATGCAGTGGCTACAAAACTTTAAAAATTTTACCCATGTACGTCAAAATATCAATTTTTAACTATTTAAGTATATTTTATTTTGTACTAAACATTTGGTTTTTGCAATAAAAAAATTTGACAATTTGTGTACCCAAATCATCAAAATAACTTGACAGTTAAAGGGTTAACCAAATCGTTTTTCAACGGTGGTTCTAAAGAAAATTTTTACCAAGCAATCTTAGTCTTTGACAATGCACCATCCTACGCAACTGAATCTGTTAACAGCTAAAGACAGAAAATTTTGCAAGATACGTGCCCCTTAATGTGAGCAGGTTAATGCAATCTGTGGTCCGAGGGGACATTGAGACAGTCAGGTGGAACTAGTGGCAATCGCCTGTCAAACAGAATTTACGTAAATTCATTGACAAAAAAAACTAAGACCTTAAACCATTTATCACAAGTATTGAACCTTAGATGCAAGCTATGAGCTCACTGTCGCAGGACAAAATGCCAAACCAGCAGCTGTTGTGAAATCGTATAGACACTGAAGAAGGCGAAATTTTTTCTTAGTGCCATATAGACACAATGTGTAATCACCGGTAGTTTAGCTTAGATTGCAAGCAGTGTGCCTGAAGTTCAGAAAAACGATCAAAAAAAATTTTTTTTTTCAAAATGGCTGGAATATGATGGCAACTTGCCCGGATTCGAACCCTCACCGACAAGCAAATTGCCAAAGACGATCATGTAACACAGAAGAGAAGATGGAGAAAAAAAGGGGAGCAATCAGCTGACAACAAATTGCTGGATTTCACTGAATTTTACCACGTCGAGTGCCTTGGGCAAGTGGACAATCTACTTAGTGACAGGCACAGGCAGAAATGGGTATTTCATCAGAGTTTTACCGTTGGTCGTACAAGTATAGATTAAGTGTGCAGCTCCGCTCCAGTTTTAAGAGCAAGACATTGATGAAAAGGATCCGAGGTTTTCCCACCTCTTTTCACCTACCACTAAACGACTCGAAAAGACTTTCATTTCGCCAGTATTTTTAAGTTCTACTATGCCGCACCGATAGTATGCACTTAATAGCATCCATGCCTCCTATGGGATTCTAATTAATGATAAAGCAGCCAGATTCTCATCATTAATGTTAAAAAAAAAGTAAACTCTACCAAAAACAAAAATCGTTATTATTGTTAAAGCTCTTTGTAAATATCGATCATTAATGAATATATAACTTAAATAGAAAGCCCGGCGGTCATACGAAATGACCGCTGCTCTAGATATTATAAATTGTAATTAAAATTATTTGTTCAATGGTGTCTGCTAATTCAAAAGGAATTACCCAGGACAGGCAGCGAGGACACCCCTTCGCTTATTGCCCCACGGGGTTTCCCCATTCTACTTGCTTAATTGCTTAAAGTAGAGTGCAATGAAAGAAATCACTGGTGGTACATTTCTTAAGAGACACCGCTAGCTCAAACAGACAAAAACAGAATAAAGATGATTTAAATAATCAAATGTTAATTCGCATGTCAAAGATCTCTTTGTGCAAAACATTTCTTGTGTAGATCTTTCCATCGTTTTTAAGCTCGCCTTGCAGAGGACCATCAATTATTTTTAATTTTACGTCCGTTCTTTCACGAACTCTTCAACAGGCAATATAATGTTGACTATGTCCAAATGCAGGCTCAGGTAAAAAAAAAATGCCAACGCGCTTAAGCGTTTGGCCCTGAGACATATTGATGATCATAGCAAAGGCAAGTTTTACAGGAAATTGTCTCAATTGAAACGGCAACCCTGTGCCGTGGCAACTTCACCCTGTTGGCTAGTACAGTTATGCAAGCAACCAATGAACTATTCGGCGACAAACAGACACTTAAGCCGCATATATATATGGGGTGAAGTAACATCATTTCCTCCTTTAATGAGCCGTTCCCGACAGTCATACAAGCAAAATATCTCGGAATCATAATTAATGATAGCCTCACCTGGGGAAATCACATTCAACATGTCAAGAAGAAAGCTAATTATGTTTTCCACTGCCTTCTCCCACTACAAGGTAAATACTCAAGATTGGACTTGGGCAAGAAAAGGCATATCTATCACTCAGTCATAAGACAAATAATGACTTGTGTCTTCCCTGCCTGGGCCGCTGCAACGGAAGCAAACATTAACCAGCTTCAAATTCTACAGTCTAAAATCCTCAGATGCATGACAAATGCACACTACTTTGTGAGAAACGAGCAATTTCATCAGGATCTGAAATTTGAATATATAAAAGACTATCTCCTTCTAACAAATACGAGGGATGATCCAAAAAAAGTTTACAAGCAGAAGCATTTGAAACGTAATAATTGTGGAGCGAATATTTCCACCCAGGGCTAGTTGTAACAGATGGCGCTAGTTGTCCAACAGCGGTTCTACGAGTAAGTAGCGTCAATACGCAGACACGTAAGAGCGACAGTAATGGCACGACGTCTAGAAAAGTGGTCTCGCCGGATATCAACACGCCACGTGTTGAAGAAATCATCCAAAAGGATCGACGAGTAACCGCGCGTGAGATTGCCTCAGAGTTGAACCTGAGTTATGGTAGCGTTCAGCGTATCGTAACCGATGAGTTGCGATATTCCAAAGTTTGTGCCCGCTGGGTTCCACGTGCGTTGTCCGCGGAGCATAAGGCCACTCGAATGATGTGCAGCCTCACATTTCTTCAGCGATACCATTCAGACGGCCAATACTTCATTGATCGCATCGTTACCGGTGATGAAACATGGCTTCATCACTTCACCCCCCACAATCCAAAAGAGCCCCGATGGAGTGGAAACACGCTGGATCACCGACGAGGAGGAAGAAGTTTAAGTCACACACCCTCTGCCAGTAAAGTGATGGCAACCGTTTTCTGGAATACGACTGGTGTTATCCTAATCGAGTATTTGGAGCATGGCCATACCATTAAGGCCGATCGTTATTGTGCCACCTTAACAAAATTGCGTAAAGCCATCCGACGCAAACGGCTTGGATTACTGAGCAAAGGCGTCATTCTTCTGCATGACAATGCCAAGGCCCCATACAGCTCGCCAGACTCGGGAATTGCTGCAAAGGTTCAAGTGGGAGGTTCTGGAATCAGCCCCCATACAGCCCCGATTTGGCTCCAAGTTGACTATTTCATTTTTCTGGCATTGAAGCGATACTTATCCGGAACACGGTTCACCTCAGACTATGCAGTGAAAACAGCTGCCGAGAAATGGCTCAATGAGCAGGGCCCTGATTACTACCAAGACGAGATAAACAAGTCGGTCGAACGTTCTGACAAATGCCTAAACAGGTTTGGCGAGTATGTGGAAAAGTGAAGGCCAGATGTGTCTCTTGATTCCCAATTGTATCTTGTTTCTATTGTTAATAAATACTTTTTCATTTGCCTTGTAAACTCTTTTTGGGATTACCCCTCGTAGGAAATTCGTAGGAACTCTGCCAAACAATGCTATTTTCTTACTTATTTTGGAACCTTCCATTATGAGTTACTGAATGAGGACAGATATCACCGACCTCTTGCAGCTCATGTGTTTGCCGAAAATCGGATTTTTCCCACCTAAATTTGTCGTTTATTTTCTGGACTGGATATGACGTCACTGCCTATCATCAGTTTATTATTCCCACTCTAGGACGTACTGTTTTATTATTTCTCAGACCTGTGCTGTCTTGCGGTCTCCCCTTCTCGTCATGAAAGCCTCGCTTTCAAACACCAGGAAAACTTTACTGTCAAGCGGCCCACAGGGCAGTTATTTCAAAGAGCCGGAACACGTCATACAAGTAGTATGATATTCGCGGCATATCAGCGACACTTGGGCTTGAAATATGTATATAATATTTTATATAGTGTTTAATCATCGAAATAAATGTTGTGTGTGAACTTCGCTTAATCTAGTGTTTCTTAACCTGTGGTTCATGGACCCTTGGGGGTCCATGGAGTCATATTTTGGGGGCCCCGCCGACTGCTCCTAATTTTTTAAAATGTTTGCATCAATATATTTAAAAAAAAAAAACTTTTTTTCGTCACGGGCAACCTCTGTAAGCCGTCTGTCTGCCATTTCCCAATAATAGAGACCTCCACAATACGAGGAAAAGAACATTCGGCAAAATATAAAATTTGAAATTTTTTAGAAACACAAAGTAGCCTTTGAATTTACTTCACTTGGAAATAAAGTGACGTTAAAATCAGTTCGCAAAGTTCTTGCAAATTTTTTTAAAAAAATATTTGTTTTACTTTTCTAAGTTGTAATTAAAAGTTTTTTTTTTTTTTTTTTTACAAGTGTTTTCTGTGTCTTAATATTTGTTCTTAATGTTTTATTGATTATTTGATTTTTTTTTGTAGCCCAAAATGTCCAAAAAAAGGAAGTATGATGAAAATTATGTAAAATATGGATTCTGCTGCATGAAGGAATCGAAAGACAATGAATGCATGAAAGTTGAAAAGCCACAATGCTTTCTGTATGGAAAAGTTTTCGCAAACGCCAGTATGAAACCGGCAAAATTGATAGAGCATCTCAAATCTCTTCATCCTGAAAATTGCATCTAAAGATCTAGAATTTTTTACAAATAAGAAAGCCCAGTTTTCGAAATCTGGAACATTAACCAAACTTGGATTTGGTATTTCACAAAAACCTTTGGTTGAGGCATCTTTCAGAGTTGCATATCGTATTGCCAAAAGTAAGAAACCGCATACTATTGGAGAGACATTATATTAAGCCATGTGCTGGAAATGGTTGAATTAGTTTGTGGACTGGAACAGAGAAAAAAACTTGAGGCTATTCCATTGTCCAAGGATGTGATACATACATTCAAGAATAGTTGAAATTTCTTGCAATATCTTGAAACAGAATCATCGATGAATTGAAAGCATCGCCATTTCCCTTTAGTATGCAACTGGATGAAACTACAGAACATCTCGAATTGTAGTCAAAAATTCTTGTTTTTGTTCGTTACGTGTCTGCTGATACTATCAAAGAAGAATTCTTATTTTGTGAGCCTCTTTTGCAAACTACAAAGGCAGTTGATGTTTTAGCGATTTTAAATGTTTTCCTTTTCCAAACACGACTTCGACTGGAAACAAAAACTTCATTCACTTTGTACGGATGGAGCACCTGCGATGCTTGGCAATAAATCTGGTTTTGCCCATTTGGTAAAAAAAGAGGCTCCTAATGTTATTGTTACACATTGTTTTTACATAGACATGCACTGGCTACAAAAACTCTTCCAACCAGCTTAAAAGAAGTATTGTCAATAGTTATTAAAACTGTGAATTTTATTAGAAGTAGAGCTCTTAATCATCGTTTTTAAAACACTGTGTCAAGAAATGAACGCAGAACATGAGGTACTTCTGTAACCACACGGAAGTGACGCTGGCTGTCACGAGGGCAGGTTTTGAAACGAATTTTCATGTTGAAGACAGAAGTATCACTTTTTTTAGAAGAAAACGATAACTCATCACTCTTCGAATATTTCAAGAAAAAAGATTTTATATGTAAATTGGTTTAACTGGCAGACATTTTTAACCACATGAACGATATATGTCTTTCAATTCAAGGGCCTGATACAACAATTATGGATGCCACTGAGAAACTACAGACATTTTTATTGAAAATGTCACTTTGGAAAATTAGAATTCAAAATGGGATATATGCAAACTTTCAAATGTTGGAAGTGCTTTTTGAAAATGGATCTCGGAAAGATAGTTTGATATCGAATAACTTGAAAAATGAAATCTGTGAACACCTGGAAGTACTTCAAGTTTCATTTGAAAAATATTTCAATTCGGATGGAATAAATATAAAAGATGAGTTGTGGATTCGTAATCCTTTTCTTTGTGATATTGACTGTATCGATGACATGAACCTTGCCAAAGATGAGCTAATTGATTTGAACAAAGTCCTTGTTAAAAATGGATTTCGATTCAAAAACTCTTGGAGAGTTTTGGTCTTCTTTAAGAGAAGCCTACCCATTGCCTGTAAAACGAGCTATGGCAGCCATTATTTCCGTTTGCTACAGTATATCTTTGCGAAGCGGGATTTTCCACACTTGTCACAATAAAAACAAAACATTCGAAATAGACTGAATGTCGAACATGATATGCGCGTTGCTTTGTCGAAAACCATCCCTCAATTCAATCTGTTAATCAAGGAAAAGCAGCAACAGCCTTCACATTTAAAAATTTTAATTTCTTCAAATTTTTTATACTATTGAAATAAAAATATAAAAATAATTAAATAATAAAACAGAATATATTTTGTAATAAATGATGTTTAAGCAATTTTTTTTTTCACAGAGGGGTCCATGACATATTTAAAATTTTTAAGTGGTTCATTGTGCGAAAAAGGTTAAGAAACACTGGCTTAATCCTTGAAAAGTCACGGACCACGACATATCAGCGGCACTTGGACTTGGATCATCTCCTCCGAAACGGCTGAGTCACGGGCTTAGCGAAGCACACCGTTGGATTCCGCAGGTCAATGGCACGCCATTTTGACCATTTGCCTCTTCGTGAGACTTTAATTAGCCGAGATATTAATTAAAAACTAATTTTCCTCTATGTTTTCGCTACATTTTCCACTTTCTTTCTTGGGTTTTCCTTATTAAAGAGATTTGGCTACGTGCTAAAATCTTTTTTCTCGAATATCTACGGAACGGCGCCAAGTTGAAATTCGAGACGAGTATCCTAGGATTCCAAAAAATTCTCCGAATCCATCGATACAATTCTCATCTTCGTACGGCTTTAATCGGCCGAGACATTAATTAAAAACTGCAGAAACGTTAATTTCCACGCTCATTTTTCCGAGTGGCAACAATAAACTATCGGCGACAAACACTTAAGCGGCTTATATACGTATATGAAGATTTCTTCATTTCCGGTGATATTCATTTAGGTACGTAATTTAAATCAGCATTCAAATAAAAAGAATACACTATAAAGAACGGAAGAATCAATATTCTTGTGTAATATTCTTATGTAAATGGAAGTGTATTCTTTTTCTTTGAATACTGATTTAATTTACGTACCTAAATGAACTTATGCTCGAGAGTGAACTGCTTGAAAATGCAAGTAAATTTTTAATAGCACTTTTCTGTTAAATGTAACATTGGTTATTTCTCTTTCCTGTAATTTTAACTGCCTTCGGTTTAGTAGTAATTTTGCATTAACCATAGACCTCGTCCTCAATCCGTAACCTTCTCTAATGCCGATTTCCTTATACACTGGCGGGAAAAATTAAAAGGGCAACTATAAAAACTTACGTAACTTAAATGATTTTGCGGCTAATAACGCTTAAAGTTGCAAAAGTTGTCTTTATTTCCTCATGCCTGAGATAACTTCAAGGGCAGAATTGCCATTTTCTGTTAAAAATAAATTTAAAAAAGGATATTACGACGTTTTACAGATGCATAAAAATTAGTAAGGTTGTAGAGACATTAGGTAATTTTTGGAAGCAGAAGAGATGAAAAATTAGCAACCCCTTCGCCGGGAATCGAAGCACGGACCTCTGAAATACCGACTCAGTATGATGGACCACTACACCACGAAGGCACGCTACGAAGGCGGGAGAAATACCTTACATGCTTCCCCTCTTAAAGGGCGACTGAGGTTTACCATACATACTCCCCCTCTTAAAGGGCGACTGGGGTTTTTAGGGGACCCAATCGCCAAATCCTGGGTGTGGAGAGTTATCATCCACAACTCTTTTAGTTCAGGCGCCACTGTAGGGACATTAGGTAATTTTTTGGAAGTAGAAGAGATAAAAATTAGCAAAACGCCTTCGCCGGGAATCGAACCATGGACCTCTGGAACACCGGCCCAGAGTGCAGAACCACTGCACCACGAAGGCACGCGAGGAAAGTGAGAGAAATACCTTATAAGGTGTATGGTCACCACTAACCCTAACCTGAATGCATGTTTTAGAGTGATTTTCGATATTGTGTGTTAGATTGTCCAAACATTCCTGGGACAGAAAAGTATATTCACGATGCAATGTATATTCACGATGCACCTTGAAGTTCTTAAAAAGTGCTCGGGTGGGGAAAGCAGCGTTGGAGATTAGCATTCTAGTGCCTACCACGGATGAGCTGTAGAATTTTAATTTAGAAAATATGTGGACTACTTTATTTGCTAGATTCCTTTGTTCTCCGTCACTAATTCATTGCGATGAGGGCAAGCATTGTAGTTCATTAGAAAGACTTTTTTACGAATTGCACTCCTAAATACTTTGATATAAGGAACAAGAACCTCATCTTTGTAAATATATTTCAACATTCATTATTGCTCTGGTAAAAATGTATAGCTCAGTGTGGCCATTCAAAATGA